TAAAAAAGGAATCTCGATTAGCTTTTAGGGCAGCAGAACCATGACGGGGCCTCCTGCATTCAGCGGTGGATTTTTTTTTTAGTGGAGAATATTAATTTTAACTAATTCTGCTCTTGGAGATCAGAGCGGTGGCTTCATCTGCCCCACGGACCCCATGAATACCCCAAAACTGGGGACACGCGGCAACCGCGGCGCTGCTGGAGGAACGACCGGGTCAGCTGTTACTCTCCAAATCCCACTAAATACACCAAAATTTGTCTAACTTGACCCAAAAGCTGCCTGATCGGGTGCAGGATACTGCACCCAAGGAGGGGATGCTCAACCTGCAGCCAGCATAACCACTCCACCGCGGTAAAGATGCGGCGCCATCGGCAAACCGGGACCGCGCGGCGTAACCGCCGGATGCCGTACGGCACTTGAGAGTCTTTTTGGCGAGACCTGTCCTCGAGCAAAGCCGCCGGGAAGCATTTCTAGGGTAAAACTAAAGGGATTTGGGTTTCTCTCGGCACCGATACTGGCACGGAGGTACTGCCTGCGGGCAGGGCTGCCTGCGGCGGCGTAAAGCCACGCGATGCCTTGCTGCCTGTTGCCTGACTCCCTGCCTGCACGCCGACCTGATGATGATGATCTGGGTTCCTCCTAAGCCAAGATTAACCGACACAGCCGCGGTTCCTGCCTGTAGCTGCCGGACCCGTGCCGTGCCACCCTGCTGTGGGCAAACGCGGCTAAACTGAGCCTAACAGATCTCTGTCCCTTCCCTCTGAGCTAAACCCAGGTACCTGTGATTTAAAACTTTAAATTAAAACTGTGTGCCTGCAAATTGAACTAAGGTAGCTCTGAATTAAACCCGTGTGGCTTTGAACTAAATCCAGGCACCGGTGGATTAAGCCCGGGTGATGCTGTAAACCCAGGTACCTTTGAATTAAACCCGGATATCAGCGAATTACACACGGGTACCTTTGAATTAAACTCCGGTACCCGCAAATAAAACCCTGGTATCATTGAATTAAACCCAGGTTCCGACGAATAAAACCCGGGTGCCTCCAAATTAAACCCGTGCACCCGCAATTTAAACCCAGGTAGCTCTGAATGAAACCCAGGTGCATGTGAATTAAACTCAGGTACTTTTAAAACCAAGTACCTGTGATTTAAACTTGGGTATTTCTGAATTAAACCTGGGTACCTGCAAATTAAACCCGAGGGTTCTTGATCTCTGAGACACCACGGAGTCCCAGCCCACTATTAGCCCAGCCTTACGTTAACGCCTCTCCTGCTGAGGACAGAACTGGGAACTCGTTAGCAGAAGCACTTAAAAGATTTGCCGAAAGCAGCTCCGCAACCCCAGAAACGGGTTTTCCAGCATTGCTGAGCCAGCTCTAACCCCGACTTTTAATCCTTAATAAACGTAACTGCACCGCTGAAGCCTCAAGCAAGCTGCAAAGCCTCTTCCTTCACGCAACTGCATAAAGCGCGCGGATAAACGCCATTTTCCTTCAGGAAATTTCAGAAGAAAAGCAAACTTAGTGACCATAAACTGACTGAGGCTGAGATGTAATTGCTGAAGTTCTAATCGCCGCTATTAATTACGGCAGCTGCATGGTTTCTCCCCCACCAACCGGTCTTTCGAGGGTCCTGGGAAGCATCTCCCAAAATATTTGGGGGACAAAATAACCCCGCTCTGCCGAGCACTGAGGACGAACAGGCAGAGACTGTCCGGTTTGCCGTTAAATAACCCAAAAATTGGTGCCTACCAAAACCAGAACGGAGTTTAAGCTGCCCAAACACCAACCGCGGGTCCAGCCCAAGTGCTGATGCTCGAAGCTGGGAGAAGTACCTGAGATGCTCGGAGAGCTCGATCCGGCTCTTCACAAGCAACAAATCCTACCTAGAGGCTTCCAGGATGGAGCTTGGGGTCATTTGCATCCACTAATTGCTAATTACAACAAGTTAAACCGGAATAACCCTCTCGATCGGCACCTCTGGTTTCTCGGAGCTCAAGGCAAAGGCTCAGTCCCATCTCCTACGCTACAAAACCGGTATTATTATTATTTTTCCTCCCTTTGAAGCCCCTTGTTTTCAGAGTTTCAGCAGGTTTTTGGCCAAACGCTCCCAATTTACTAAAATAACACATTTAAGCGCCAGCTACACGGAGGGACGGAGACGTCGCGTGGATTCAAGCAGGTAAAATAAAAATAATTCAGATTTTTAAAAGCTCTGGATTGCAAAAAGGCAAGAGGCAGCTCATGGGAGCCGCTGCTGAGCAGCAAAACTGCACTTCTAAGAGAATAAAATGGGAGCTGCAATTAACTGCAATTAATTCTAGCTTACAGTCTCATCGCGTCTGTGTTTGCTTATACCTGTTACCATTAACCACCTCTTTTTTTTACAATAAACCCAAGAAAAAGTAAAAATCGAGGTAAAAAAATCCACATTATTGACGTCCGCCACCGATTTTAAACCCACAAGTATCTATTGCACAAAGCAAACCTACCGTAGAGCAGCTCGGTGGGCAAATAAAAGCTTCATTAATAGAAAATAAATAGTTAAGATGCCAGATCTTATTTAAAATTGCCAGGCAAGTTTTGAAGCTTACCAGCAAATTTTAAATCTAATTCTCCGCCTAAGCCAGCGCAGGCGTTGCCACGATTACCGGAAAAAAATAAGTATATGACTATTTTACAACAGCAAAACTAACTGCCCCGACCTGCTCAGGGTTGTTAAATTAACATCACTGTAAATGCACCGTGTCGAAAACATGTCTTAAAACATCTTAAGGCATCCTAAAAGGTCTTTTAAAAGGTCTTAAAAGATCTTAAAATACAACTTAAAAGTGATTCAACGGTAACGTTGCAAATACCGGCACGAAGACCTACGGGATATTGGGCAAATCCCTGCGGTCAAGGGTTTTCACTGTGTATTGTCTCAGAAAGCGGAGGAAAAGTTTAGGAGAGCAAAAACCCACCAGTTGTGGAAATTAATGAATTAAAAGAAATTAATTCTCTTAATTAACCTCCTACCCAAAGCGTTACGTGTCAGATTCATCCCTGATGGTGGTAAGGTCGGCGTAGACCGAGGGCATCCGTGCCGCAGCCGCGTTGGTTAAGCCTTTTCCAAGCAGCGGAGCGGGAGCTCAGCCTGGATAACGTCAGTCTACGTCGGCCAAATGAATCCCAAATACTCACAGCCGGGATTGGCAAACACCGGAGAGACGTCGGATTTGGGCCAAAAAAGACGACAAAAGCATTTAAAAACTGAAACGCAAGAGCAACCCGCGCTCCTCCGCACCCACCCAGCCACCGTTTGGGGAGAAACACTCAAAAAGAGCATTTTCGGCTCCATCGGAGGCTGGTTTTGTGGGAGTGAGCGGCACGGACGAGATTTTGGTGCCTGTCCAGATTTTAATTGGTGCTGCTCGTTGAAACGAGAAGGGTTTGGCAGCGGCACATCCCAAAAATTCCCACCTTACATCTCGCAACCCTGCCGCCGCGCCCCAGAGGGATTCCCGAGATCATCCCTATAAATCATCACCCGAAATACAACCTGGTCGAGGATCTCGCTCTCCATCTGAGGACCTATCATTGGCTTTGGGGGAAAAATAAGCAAATTTTAAACAAAACGTCATTTTGGGATTTGCAGTAGACGGATTTAGCGGGTAAATTTTATCGGATGGGTTCCATTCGGAAATGGGACGCCGGGATTAAGGCTCTGGATTTAGGATGAGTTGGGGTTGGCCGAGTTTAACGCTACACATTAAGATGGGATGGATAAACCCCGTTTATTTTGGTTGATGCAATCATGAGCTTGGCAGAAATAAAGACAAATTGGATAAAACCTCGTTTAAAAGCATAAATATGGCCGGTTTCGCTTTCCCCCATCAAGCAAGGGAAGAATTTAGCACCAAATAATTTAATTTTCTGATCATTGAGAGTCACCCTGAAATGCTCCATCAAAACCTTTCAATGTCCTCTAAGAAAAAAAAAGCCCAATTCTACTAAAAATACATTAAAGTAGGTAAATATGTTAAAAGACATCAGCTCCGGACTTATCCCAGACAAACACATCCCTAAAAGCGGAGGATCACTGGGAAGCGTTGCCAGCACCAGCTCAAAGGTGAGTCTCATCAATCCTGCTTTATTTTTTGGGGTTTATTATACTTTTTGGATTCCTCCTCCTTTTCTCAGTGCTGTTTGCCCTACGCACCCAACCCAGCTATGAAAATAAATCCAGGTTATTTTCTGCCACGTGCATCTCCTGATTTCCCAACCCGCTGGAGATGCCTAAGTCTTACCATTGACTTAAGTACTGGGATAAGCCCAGCTTAACCTCCGGAGTCCAAGCTGAGATAGCAGCTAGGAGGAAAAAACGGCTTTAAGTGACGACACAAGCTTTGCTTCCCTAAAACCAAGGAGGCAACGCTAGCAAGGAAAGCACAATAATTAAGAGGAATGTGAGAACAGCCTAATTTAAGCCCGAAGGATGGTGCTGCGAGGGAGAAGCAGAGAGTTACGCAGAGCAGACGCTGCTCTGGTGATGTAAAATTTTAAATTTAACTTTAAATCCTTTTTTCTCGAGACCTGCCCGTAAAAATAAAAAGGCTTTTACACGTAAACCCCCTTTTCCTCCATCCTTCTCCCTTCTCTGTGGCGTGAGCAGTCCCCCTGAGAACGTTTTATAGCTCTCCCTTGACTGAAAATACAGCGTTTTTCTAAAAATACAAATCTAGGTCATTAACCAACGAGCTACCTTGGCGCACGCTGGTTTTTGGGCTCCCGCGCTCGCATCCAAGTTCAGCAAGGAAAAGCTTAAGAAAAATCATCGCGTCGGGCTTAAGAACCGCCAGAGGCAACATCGCTACCGCCAAGTTGTCCATGTCGAGCCCCAAAAGGGGTCAACATGCGGCTGCGCATATTGGATTTTTCATTACAAAGACAAAAAACAAAAAAAAAATAATTAAAAGACCGAGCCAGGAATGAAAACATATTTATTTATACAGAAACCAGGTCTAGGACTGAGTCGTTAAATAAGCTGCGTCTAACCTGTTTCTGAATCTTCGCTGTCGGAGGAGCTGGACTCGCTGGTGCTCTCAGACTCTGAGGAGGAGAACCCCTTCATTTTAGAGGAACCAGCAATTACATCCACTTTCTCCGCTGCAAGAAGACAACAGTACGACATCGTTAAAGGCTAATTAATAACCCGGAGTCCTGCCTGGTGCTGGCTGCTCCTCCCAAACCTGCCTGCTCCTCCCCTACCGACACCAGCAGCCGCCCCGGGGGCTCTGCCAGACCCGCGGTGTCCAGCTATTCCTGCGGAAGGGCTGAGCCGAGCTTTAATCCTGCGTCTGTGCTTATTTCTATCGCCGATCTGCACTAGCTGGGACGCAGCGGGGTCTCGGAGGTCTTGGGGGTGACGACGTTTTACAGGGCACAGTGCGGTGGGGGTGACCCCTCGTGTCACCCTCCAAAGCAGGATGGGGACGTACCGATGGCAGCCAGCCGGGATTTAAGCTGGTCCCAGCAGACGTCCGGCCACACAAGATGAGCCCGCTTGCTCGAGCCAGGTTGTCCTTCACCCTCCTAAACGCCTCTGGGGCAGAAAGGTCTGACTTTACCCAGCCACTTTAGGCTGGCCTAAGACCAGAGGGGGCTTTCTCCTCCAACCTGCTTGTGCCCAGTCACAGCGTGGCTGCGTGATACAGGGATGAAAACTCACTTTTTTTTTTAGCTGCATCAACTTGCTGGACTAAGGAGGTGGCAGGAGGTTGAAGCAGCAGCAAAGTATAAAATTGCCTTTTTTTTAATAGCTTAAATGGGAATAAAAACGGGAACTACAGCCTAGGAGTTGCTCAAGCCACTGGTGACGCTGGAGCCCTTTACTAAATCCCTACAACTCCAAACTAAAGAAAAAAAAATCTAAATGTTTTGCTCTGGTACGGAAGGATAAAGAAGCCTCCCAGGATTCGTCAGGGTTTGTTTTCCACTTGGATTTATCCCGGGAAGGAATCGTTACCCCTTGGCCACAGGAAATCGAGAGATTCCCTTTGAATTCCCTGATTTCTCCACCCGCTTGCTGCCACGTCCCACCCTCCACCCGCTGAGGGCGACTTATGTAAAAAACTGTTTATCTGGTCTTTGACCATTAATAAATATGTGTATTTAGTATAGAAATAGGCATTTTAAAATAGACTAAAAATAAAATAGGGTATGAAAGTTATTTTAAATATATCAAAATATATTAAAAATATAAAAAATTATCAAACTGTATTTAAATAGCCATTAAAAATAAAAAACAGGTGTATTAAAAAAAGGGAGAAAACCCTCTCCTACCTCCAGATGCGGAGGTGGGAGGCGCAGGGCGTCCCTCAGCCCGAATCACACCGAGCTCAGGAGCAAACGCCCCTGCATCCGCCATCCATCCGGAACGCCGGGGTCCCACGGCTGCCGAGGGAGAGGAGCTGGGTTCCCCTCCTCGCCCCCACTCCCTGCCCCAAACCAAAGCTCTGCCGCTCGTCAGAGATTGTGAAGGGCTTTAAGAAAACAAATCGCTTGCGGCAGATTGAAACGAAACGCTTGCAGCGCTTCGTAAAGATACTAATTGGAATGAAAATAGCCGCATTTAGAGGGGATGTAGGAATCGGCGCTCTCCTAGCGGCACCACCGAATTCCAGCCCTGCGGCAGGATCTAATACACACGTTGATGTGTCATTGGAGAAAGAGCAGCTCTTAAATTAAATCCTCTTTTTCACTGGACAAATACCTGCACCCATCTTTTTTCCTACCCGTCTTGTCTCGAGCCTGGGAAAACATCACTGGAATAAGGAGGAAAAAACCTGATTTTGAGGCTAAAAGGTACCTTGAGGTTTCCTCTTCTTCCGCAAACACGACGTTACGTATCTCTCCAGCTCCCGTAAGGTGGATGGTTTTAACGTCTCAAAGTCAATCTCGATCTCATCGGGATTGGAGTTTTTGAGCGAAGGTTCTCTCGACTGGATGATATGGACAACTCGGCCCAGTTTCTCACCGGGGAGTTTATTAATGTCCAGGCTCAGCTGCCTCTTCTCCTCATAGGACATGGGTTTACACTTCTCCTCCTCCTCAGACTCGTAGGCTGGAGGGGGCTTGCTGTTCTTCACCGTCACAGGCTCCTTCTTACTACTTAAGAACAATTATAAAACGTTATTATAGAACAGACCGTTAACGCGGAAAAGCAGCCACTAGGGTCTAACGTCTTAAATGTAACCACTAGACCACTCCATTTTTAATATTTTTACTTTCTGTCCTGGAAACGAGCATCTTTGTCATTTACAGCTCAAGCTTGAAGCTCAACCACGAGCCTGCAGAAAGCTAAGCTCAACTTGCTCTTAGGACAGGAAAGCCGAGACCTCAACTCGCTCTTAGACAAGAAGGACGACTTCAACCAGTTAGACACCCAAGACTGAGCTCAACCCACTAACCCACTGTTGGACAAGAAGGCTGGGCTCAACCTGCTGTTAAGACACCCAAGACTGAGCAAAACCTGCTGTGAGACACCCCAGGCTGAGCTTCCCGTCCCAACGCTCGCTCTCCCAAAGAGATGAGTGGCTCGAGGAGGTAATTCAGAAAAGCAGGAACAGCTCCAGAGAGGAATTCCTTACATCGGCACTTCGATGGACCGAAGCTCAATCGATGCTGCCCGTTTCTTACCGGGAAAGGCAAGAGCTTAGGCTGTTTCAGAGCCTGACGTGCCATACGGAGAAGTAAAACCCAGCATTCTTAAAAAAGTATGTTCGTAAGAAGGAAAAAAAACAGCTACGAGGACTCCTTGACATCACCGTTGGGGTTATTACGCTCCATGCACTTCAAAACTGACGGAGGCAGATTTGCAGGTTATTTATCCCACCATTTGCAGTGGATTTGGGGCTAACGCAGTTAATAAATGAAGTCTGGGTAGAAAATCATCCCAAAATTAGTACAGGACAAGGTACATGGTGTCACAGATGGTCCATTTCCCCAAAATAATCCGCTGCCGTACCTGCTGGGGTTTATTCAAAGTCCGACCACGCTAAACGCTGCGGGGTGAGGCCTGGGGACAGAGGCAAGCTCCGAGACCTTGCTCATTATTTCCCTCTTTTTTCATTTCATCTCATTACAGTTAAATAAGCCAAACAACTCCTTTTCGCCTTGGTTTAAATACAAAGATCCTGCTTCCCCTTTTGAGTTGGCAGCTGACAAGCCGTACAGACTCGGCTCGTGGCATCTTACCTCTTAATTTAAAACCTACATCTTCCAAAAAAAGGGGAGAGGGAGGGAAGATTAGAGGATTCAAGGATCCAACAGAGCGACTCCACATGATTTCCCCCCCCGCCTCCTGTGCTTGGCGTGTTCACAGCAGCCACGCGGAAAAACATCAACCCCGAAAAACAAAGCTAAACTCATGGTTGGGACTTGACCCTAAGCAACGCCTCCGGAGGCGAGGGGCTTGCTGCGAGCCAGCCCTAGCTATGGTGTTACTCGTCAAGAATCCTGCGTAATTGTTTAATTAGCAAAGGGGAAATAAAAAAAATGTAAATGCCGTGCGGTAAAACAGAAGGATGGAAGAGGGATGGGCTGACCTGGAGGTACTGCTGTTGCTGTTGCTTTTCTTGGCCTTCTTGGGTGGCGGCTCCTTGGCTTTGCTCTTCTTGGTGTCTTCCAGCTCTTCCTTCTTTTTGTGCTTCTCCTTCTTCTTCTCCTTCTTGTCTTTCTCCTTTTTCTTTGGTTTGTTCTGCTGTGGCTGGGACAGGGCTGCAAGCTGTTCATGCACTGCTTTAAGCTGAGAGGCAGACACACACAAGATCAAGATATTTTTGCCCAGCACCTCCTCCTCTTCCATATTAATTAACTTTTTTCTCTGCTGCCTAACGCTTTCTTATCTTTTACTATTAATTAAGTCGGTTCTTCCAGCTTTTCGGCACACCGTGATTTCCGTGTGTTCGAGTGCTGACCACTGCCAGAGGAAGGAAGCAACCTCTTTATGGGTATTTCTCCCCGCTAAGTTAGAAGCGGGCTGCTCGTTTCGTCAGCACTAGTAACGCTTTAATTACCAGCGCTAACGATGCCATGAACGGGGAGGATGCGGGAGATAAGGCTACAGGCTAGAGCACTGCTCCGTGTCTCACGGGCTTTCCCCACGCTGGGCAAATCCTTGCTCCAGCCCATGAGTTCAGGCAGCCCTGGGGGATCCTGCCCGCTCAGGAGACACCACCCAAGTGCAGGCAGCGAATTCCGCTGGGGACCATCTTGTGCATCCTAACAGGAACTGGAAGGACCGTCCTAAAAAGCACCAATTCTTTCACTCTTCACTTTAAAACTACCGACTCTGGAGCACTTCGCAGCTGATGGGCAACGCTGTACAATTAGAAAGTCTACAGCTTTGAGCAAAGGCCCCAAGGCCACCAAGTTCAAGAAGTAGGACACGTCGGACACCCCCAATCCATCACGACGGACGCAGTACCTGCTCCTGGAGCTCCGCTAATCGCTGAGCTCGCTCTTCCTCAGAGTCATCCGACGAGCTGTCGCTGTCAGAGGAGCTGTCGCTGCTGCTGTCGCTAGATGAAGGGGGAGCCACCTTGGTGGGAGGCGGCACCACCACGGGAGAAGAAGCTGGAATCACAGGTTCTTCTGGTTCATCCGGCATCTTGGCGAAGCGCATCTCGAACACGTCCTGAAAACACAAGGAGAAAGAACGCAAGGTTTGGCAGAGTCAGATACCACAAGTGTAGTTGTCATCTCCAGGCTGTTCCCTACGGACTTGTGGTCTCTACCCCAAGCAATCAACACACCGCGTGTCGCAAACGAGGTAATTTCCTTGAAAGCTCCAAGTCCACTCGGAATTTTGACCGTCTCCGAGATGGTTTCAGGGGAAAAATTTCCTGGCAAGAAGGACGAGACTCATTTAAAAGGTGCATTGTCCAGGTTCTTGAGATCTTCTCCATCACATTCCACAAAGGATTCATGGAGAGCTCGGGGCAGGACTGTGCTGTCGCAATCTCCTCTCCTCTTCAGCCTGCCCGCATTTTTCCAACCCATGTCCCGTAAAAACCACCTCGATTCAACCCCAACACTTGCACAAGGATGTTTCCCGTTATCCTCAAGAGCAAGGGATGTGAAGCCGGTTTAATTCCAGTCGCCCCACTGATGCCAAAGTCCTTTTTCCTCCTAAAGCCTGATAGGAAAATCCATTTTTGTTTAAACCTAAGACAAGGCAGATAAGGTGGGAGAGCCTGGCTGCATTTCTCGGTGCCCATTTGAAGGAGGGGGTTTGAGTGTGGTTTTTTAGTTTCCCAGAAGAGGAACGAGTGCCTCTTGCATCCAAAAAGAGATTCCCCCCTGCCCCAAGCTGCCACCTTGTGAAGGGAAAAACATTTGCAGACAAAAACGCCCATTTTTTTTCATCTCCTACAAGGCAAGACCTGAAAACGGGCTCGATTCACCTGCTTTTAGGTGTTTCAAGGCCAGGCACTCATTCGAGCTTAGTGACTCGCCCCGGGCTCTCTTGGAGCCCGCAAGGAGACTGGCAACTCCCAGACGACTCTAGCGATGGTGGGAAGGACAACCCGAAGGCAGCACAAGTGTCGGTGTCCACCTTTTTAATAGCGATTAATAAAAAAAGAAAGGATAATTTCTCCTCCTGCCCGCAGGTTTGACTTTCAGTCTATAGGTCCCATTTATTTTGCTATTTTCGACGTCCTGGGTGCGCGGTTCTGACCATACACCCACCGGAGGAGGTCTGTGCCTTATTTCTAAAACCCTACGGACTGTAAATATTAACCGTGCGCACGTTCCTATAGATTTATACAACTTAACCGAAATCCTTCAGCAAGTCAAACACCCCACGATATCAAATCATGCACGAGTGTGAGCGACAAGCACGGGAGCGACGTTTTCCTTCCTCAAGGCTTCCAGCTCTTCTAGTTCAGGCTCATCTTTGGGATTTTAAGGACCTGGTGGGCTCTCCCCTACCTCAGCATCCATCGTTTTTCCACCCTCCCTAAAACGCGAGCTGCTGGACCGCATTTCTCCACCCTCAGCCTCCTCGTGCCTTTATTCAAGGGGGTTTTTTTCAGCAGCGACGCTTTTCCGGGCGCTGTAGATGTTGCTTTGCTGCTTCCATCTGCTGGCAGAAATGCCACTGACTTCATCTACGTGTTCAGGCTCAAATTTCAGGGGAAGGAGGAGAAAATGCTGGAGGAAAAGGAGAGATTCCTGAGCTCCTCCAGCGACACGGCAGCGCTCGCGGGACGCACAGACGCTTGTCACCGATTCACTGCGCTTAATGGCTGTTTACAATCTAATTAATGTTCTCCATGAACCAGAAAGTCCAGTTTTTGATTATTACCAGCAGGTAATGCCGTATATATTTTTTACATTCTCTAGGGTGAGAAATAAAACCTTCCTAGTTTATTTTTTATACCTATCCAGTCGTTTAATTAACAGGTAGGCTAATTTCAAGTTCCTGTGAATGAAGTTAAATCCATCAATTTGGAAGCACCTGGGTTATGAGAAGCCCTCGGTGTCCGAAGGATCCTTAGGAATCCACCCAGGAACGGACGGAAGAGAAAACCCTGTGAGTAGGTGACGAGCTAATTAATGCCTTTTTAATTACGGATTCCTACTGCTACTGTTTTGTACATCACTGGCACCGCTGACCCGTCCTCGCTCGGACAAACATAAACCATAAACCTCTTCCACCAGCTGGCATTAACCCTGGGAATCCAAGAAACCATCTTCCAACGATGAAATTGTAACAAAAAGCAGAAAACTCATTTATTTCAGAGGTTGATGTTCCCAGGACGGAGGGATAACGCAGTGGGCACCGACCGCCGCCGTTCATGAAGCAAGACGCTGCGTGTGTCGTTTACGGCAACTCAAGTCCAGACTTGAATCCTCAGCCTTGTTTCCAAACCTGAGCAGCGCTCCAGAAACCTCCCTTTTTGGATTTTCTTTCTGAAATCAGTTTTCTGGGCACAGGAAGAGCAAGCAGAGAGGTGCTACCCCTGGTCTCAAGCAGGTCGGAGCGGGATCCAGGCGGTATTTCGGTATCCAGCTCCGTCGCATCGCTGCTACAGGGCTGCCCCGAAATTTAATGCTCATTTTGTGGGGACTAGCAAATTAAAAAAATCACTTTTTTCATCTTTACGGCAGAAATAAAGTTTTCCAAGTGGTTGATCTTTGCAGGGACGCGTTCCCAAGCCTGCCTGCGGACAAAATCCTTATTTCATACAGCCCTCGGTCCAGATGCCATCACCTGGCAATGCCGGTCGCCGAGGACTTTTCCCCGTAAAATGGGGTCAAAGGAAGGAAAAGTCACAAGTTTCTGTGAAGCTATTCAGCCTGCGACAAGTGACTGGAATTTCGGATCAGATTCATTCTGCTGCTGGTTGGAAAATGCTCCAAGACATCACTTAAAGGCTGAGACGCTCTTTGTTAGACCAAAACGAGAAGAAAAGAGCAGCCAGAGGGCGAGCATCGTGTTTTCCAGGCGCCTACTTCGCACAAAACCCAGAAAAACATGAATAAGATGCTGAATTCTCCTAAATTCATGCTACAAACACACATTTACTCAGCTTATACTTGTCTCAAATTAAACCAGGCCAAACCTGAGCCGTAATTTTATAAAAGCATCACGAAAAAATACCAGCACCTAGAAACACATCTCGGAGGACGCCTGTGCCGCGTTTGCTGCCGCTTCGTTTCCTCGACCCTTTGTCGCGGCTTCACATCTGGATCGAAGCAAAACAGCTGGTGGCCTTCTCACGAGCCGGTACCTTCCTCGGGTGAAACTGCTTCGACTTCAGCGGAGGGGGAAGCTGCGCCACGCGGAGGGTTTTACACGAGGTTTCCCGTTATCAAAACCCAGCAAAGCCGTTAATAGCAAGTTTCTCCTTTTTTTCGGTTGTTTCTCAATTCAAGGGTCCAGCAACGTAGTAGTTTCCCCCCCCAGTTTAACAGTTCTTCCTCCAATTACTATCTTTCCCCCCAATTGAAAGCTTTTCCCTCAACCTAATAGTTTTTTCCCACCTCTCCGGTGCATTCTGGTGTAACTTGGATCCCTCCTCAACCCGTTTTCTGAAGGTTAAAGCAAACCACGCTGCTTTTCTTCAGTCTCGCAGCGGGAGCTCCGCCGCCTCGTCATTCTGCTCCGTGCAACCGCGGTTGCGCTTTTCTGTGCTAATAAAACCTCTTCCCTTAACGGATTCGGCTCCAGGGTCTTCGCATACGTCCGACAACCCGCTGAGCCCATCCTGCGTCCCCTCCTCGCTGCGGTCCAGGCATCTTTCCGGCGTCCGGCACGCAGCTCTGCGTTGATTTTGGGGATTTCACGGCAGCTCCCAGCCCCTCGGCTGGTATCGAACATGACACGAAGTTATTAAGGAGGGACCGAGCAACGTACGGCATGAGACTTTCTTTAGAGAACAACAACTGCACCCACAATCATCCCAAGGTGGGGAAAAAAAGAGAAATCAGCATTTAAGGGAATGAACTGCCTGAAATCACGGACACAGGGAATGCCCAAGTGTTTTTAATGACAGCTGTCGAAATGCTTGGGTCAAAAAATTAAATGCCAGAGCTCTTTGTCCCCTTGCAGTGTTTCTCCACGGCTGCTGCGAGTAAATTTAGCACCGAAACGAGCTCGGTCTCTCCCAGATCCGCTCAGAGCGAAGTGCTTTCCCCTGCGTCAGCCTGGCGAAGCCACAGAGCAGCTCCAAATTACCGAGAAACGAGGGAATTGGGATCATTTTTCAGAGTGGTGGAGCACGTGCTTTAAGCCAAACACTTCACTCAAGGCAAGTGGCTTCCTTAGTAACTAATTCAGTAATTACAAACCCTTCAGGAACGAGCGGAGAGCAGAAAACTTCACCGTAAGAATGACAGAAGAGGTAATTAAAACAGCATGATGCAGCGTGTACTGTCGCTTATTTTCTCTCTGGGTGTTTTCGAGAGAAAAGTGACATCTTGGAGCTGTGCTTTGCCTTCCTACTCGTTTATCGAAAAGGTAAAACAAGAGTTTAAAGAAGGCTGAGTCAGCTCACTCCCTGCATCACTTCCAGAGCCAAAAGTATTGGTTTTTTACCGTTCTCTACCACGCTGGCATTTTTTTTTATGTTATTTCAAGACTACGTGGCCCTTAGGCTGGAAAAATATGTCAAGAGAGACGCCGGCGTTCATCGAAAACCGAAGCAGGCTGTGACAACACGCGTCCTTACCTGCAGCTTCCGTGCCATGGCCACCACCTCGTGATCAGCGGGGTTGTACTTATAGCAGTTGGAGAACATCAATCGTACATCCGCCGCGAATTCCTGAGCATCTCGGTATTCCCGGTTCTCCAGTTTAGACTAGAAAGGAGAGAAAAACCCACCTCTCTGCTATTAACAGTGCAAATACACCATATCGACTGACTGAATAAATACAGCCCCGCGGCACCCACGGACTTCACGCACTCATTTTCTCCCTATGTTGGAATGACTAATTTTGGTCAAATGAAGGACTGTGGCTGGTTTAGAGAAAATTAGAGCCGACTACAGGCATCTCCAGCGATGTTCAGAAGAGGACTATGTGCTCTCCAAGCCACCTTCTCGCTGTCTACATGGTGAATAGTGTCTACGCGGTTGGTAGCAGCTATGTGGTTCAGATGAAGAACCAAACGGGATGCTGTGTTGAAGAGCGGAGTTGAAAGACCTGGCTCTGCCTGACCTCAACCAAGAAGGGCTGAACCTCCACGTGCGCCCAAGATCACGCGTTAGCAGAAGAACGTGGTGAGCTTTGCTCAGATCGTTCCCCTAGAAGGAAGATCTAAGAGTTGTTTTAGCTGTGTAGCTTGGTTGGAGGGAGAGAGGACACCAGGATGGTCCTCCACCCAATGACGGAAGAAGATGACAGGCTTTGTTGATGCAGGGGACAAGATTCAACCATCTCACCCGCCTTCCATCATCTAGCTTCCCTCCAAGAACCAAGCTGGTGTCTCTAAAGTTTGGACCTCCATCCTAAGAGGGGAGAGACCTGCTCTACGGCAACCTGCTCATGTCCCAAGCCTACGAGGAGCTGGAAGGAGTAAGCTGGGTGGAGACAGCCTTGAGATGACCCCTCATCCCCGCGAATGCTGCATCCAGCTGTGGCCACGCCAGCTGAGCCAAGAGAGGCTTCACGCCTCCTTCTCCCTCCCTGGGAAAGCAGGGTCGAGTTGGACAACTGGAAGATGAAGAACACTCAACAGCTGTCACAGCAACATCTGCCAAGGGTGACCTCAGGCAGCCAACCCTGCCAGACAGTTGGGCAGCGAGATGTACAGGCAGCTACGTACTTGCAAGACCTAACGCTTGCCACCAGCCAGTCCGCAAGAGAAAGGAGAAAGCCAAAGCCAAGAGTTTAATTCTGCATTCCCAAAGTTTGGCCCACCAAGACCCTACAGGTCCGAAATGCCATGATTAAGGAAGAGCCGTGATCCTCGCTGGCTTGATCTTTGGTGTAACCTCGGCAAGGTGTGGGCTGCAGGAAGGGAAAATTCGCTCCTCTGGCTTTAAAACTCAAGCCCAAACTCGGCGAAGCAGGAGTGAGAGCTAACCTTAAACTACCTACACGGGAGTTCACCGTGTAGTTAAAGTTAAAGACTTGTAAATAATGAATTACGGTTTGGCAACTAAAAAGTTAAAGACTTCTAAATAAGGAATTAAGCTTTCACAGCTGAAGTTAAGCTTCTAAATCAGGAATTAATGCTCGATAACTAAAAAGTTAAAGATTTCTAGATAAGGAATTAAGGTTTCCTAGCTAAAAAGTTAAGACTTCCAAATTATGAATTAACGTTTCAAGCGGAAACATGGATGACTTTGCAGTTGCTTTTTAAAATTAAACTACTCCAATAATGAATTAGTATTTCAAGGGGAAACAGGGATGAATTTGCAGTCACTCTTTAAAATGAAGGAATTTTAAACTAGAGGGAACTACCTGTGCTTAACAGAAGACTGATTCAGACAGACAACTTTCAGAAAGACGGGCCTTTATTTTAAAAATAATTGAAAATGGAGTTGGTTCAAATCAAATCCCCTTATTGCTGTGATTTATGCTCTCTGAGGCCATCTCCTGGGCTAAAAAAAAAGGGTAGATTTATACAGTAATGGAAATTTTCTATTAAAAAACCCATGTGAGCGCTTCCTAAGAGCCCTTCTGGAAGGATGCCGGCTTGTTTGTTTTTCCCAACTGTCAGGATAACAGCAAGAGGCGAGTAAGAGAGACCAAATGTACCAGAAACCTACGGCCAAAATAAATCTGGCGAATGTCTGAAGACACCCGGTACGCAAGTGCGGGGAGAAAAAGATCTTTTTTCTACTTAGACCCCAACCTCCCCCTCCTATAAACCTGAGCTTACTTTGATTGTGCTCAGATCCATGGGATGTTTAATGATATCGCAATAATCATGCAGTCCCAGTGCTTCCACATCCACAGGTTTGTAGAAGGGCCAGGCGTAGGCAGCGTGTTTCTTGGCGAACATCTCTTTGATGATCCCGCTGCAGTATTTTAACTGCTCGGATATTTTGCTACTCTTTTCTACCATGTGTTGTTGAGAGTCTGGAACATCCTTCTTTGGAGGCTTCACCGGGCGGCTGCTTTCCCGGCGCGGACCCAGCTTGGTGGACTTGGGTTCGGTGGGCAGAGATGACGATTCATGAATTGGGTCGATGGTTGTTGGTGTCGTTGTGTCTGCTTTCCTCTTCACCCCTTTTTTTGTCTATAACCAAGCAAATGAAGCAATATTACTTTTGACATCATACTTTTGGCTTCAACCAAGTTGCGCTTCCCGTAGTGTTGACTCGCATTCGCCATCACTAGTGACTCAAGCCCCCTGCCAACGCTACGAGAAGAACATTGGAAGCCCTTCCAAAAATATTCAGATGTCGCTGGTCTGTACTGAGCTTTACGGAAAAACATCTGGATTATCTCTGCTGTACCAGCAAAGGTCAAGGGCATGAGTCACTTCAGCAAGTCAAGATTTTCTTCCCAAGTCATATAAAGCTCAAGGAAGGAAGGTCTTAAGAGGATGAACCTGGGTATAATTCATCCCATCCAACTTTAACCCATCTCAGAGAGGGCCACCGCAGGCTCCTTTTCTACTCAATGGAAGAAGTGTTCTCAAAACATGAATTTTTTGACCAAACTGTGGCCTTTCGCCTTAAAATGAGACTCCAGCAGCAAAGCCAAGGGCAACCACTTGACCAACCGTGGCGAATCTATGCCATGAAGATAATTTAAGCTGTCACGTTGAGATAATTAAGGAATCACTCACCTTCACGGGCTGGGCGGGTGTTGGGATAACGGGAGGGTGAGGCTGGATGGGCTGGGGAGCCGGGGCCGGCGGCACGGGGGCCTGGGGAGCAGGTGGAGGCGGTGCAGGAGGCTGAGGAGGCACCATCGTCATTACTGGGGTCTGGACGATGAGGTCGGGGGTGACGGAAGGAAAGGAATGAGTCGTCTGCGCAGACTGGAGGTTTTGCTGCGGCGCCTGCGTCTGCGCTGGGGACGAAGCTTGGGTGGCGTTCGGTACCGTGGACGATCCTGGTTTGGATGTCACTGCCAAGAGAAAAGAAAGGACGGGTTGCTTCTCCTTCAAACTTAATTGTTTTGATGGGAAAAACAATTAACGTTTTGTAATAACACCATTTAAAGAACATTCTTCATTAGATAATTAGTATCTTGCAGTTCCCATTCTTGAGCAACCAGCCAGGGACGAACAGTAGCCACATTTTCCTTCCTGACAATTATTTTTATAGCTCACTAGGTGAAATGGTGAAGAAACTCAGGACCCAACTGCACCAAAACCCCTCCAGAAAAAGACCAAGATCAGGCCAAAGGCTTCCTCCCTTCTTCCCCTTCCCTTCACATGAGATTTCTTGCAGGCAGGGCAAGAGATGAGTGCCTCTTTTCCCACCTACCCTTTTTTCCTAGGCAATGGTTCTTGACTATCATCATTTTGGAGCCAAAACCGGGCAGTTCTTCCCTCAGCAGCAATTTTGTGCTCTATCAGCAAGAAGAGTTTCTTAATTCTTGGTGACTTAAATCATCGCAGCCGCTACTGTCCAGGGGAAATCTCTCCCGACGGCTGGAGAGCGAGGTCCTCGTTAGGTGATTTCAACCTCGCTGGCACACAAGGTTGGAAACGTCAGCACTGTCCTTGGACCTTCCAGTGGCCCTGGGGAAGTCACCTCCTTGCTGGAGCTGCTGCTGCTTTGCAGGGCAAAGCTCTGCCCAAGCTTCCGAACTTTCCAGCATGGTGATAGGACCTCCGAACGGGAACGCTCTGCAAAGCTTGGATGCTGGGGTGCACCGCCAGCAGACCTCCAAGATGGAAGTATCAGGAAAGTCCGGAGGTTTGGGATCAGCAGGTATTACCTTCCGCCAGATATCAAACGTGCCTGGTTAGCAATAATTAGATTTTTATCTTCAGCAAGAAGACGGCTCGCAAGACCCTCAGTATTTTTTAAAACATGGGGAATATCCTTTACACACACCCGAGCAGGGAGCAATCCCACCGCTCAATCTGTACCTGTGCTGTAGAGACTGGATTTTGGCTGCGATTTCACCGCTCTCTCAACAAGGAAACTCTCCTGAGCACAAAACGTTAGCGGTGTCGCCTGCCTTGCTGGCTATCCAACACCTCTTCCAAGCATCACTTCCGAAAAATAACGAAATAGAAAAGAAACGCAGCCAGATTTGCTCCCGATCAGTCCCCAGGAGCTGCAGTGACTGCAATCCCACCAGAAAAGTACCGCGTGTTAACAGACGCTCAGCCACGACCGCCAGTGAGCGAATTTCCACTAAAAATCAACGAGCAACCTATGAAGAGAATAAAATCAAGAGTTTTCATCCCGTTCTCCTTGCAAAGCGGCAAGCGGAGTGCTGATGTCTCTCAATCAGGTGGGGACTTGTAGCCGGAGGGATCCTGTGGTCCCGCTGGGATCCTGCAGTCCTGCTGGGACCGTGACGGAGCTCTGCGTCGCTTAGGCAAAGCTGACGCATTTCACCTCCTACCTTACACAGGGGCTCGAGATTTCTATCAGAAACCTGTGGGGGTTTTTTGCAGCAAAGCTTTCCAGCCAGCACCACACCTGGTTTTTAATAATTTAACCCCAAATCAGTTATTATACGCTGAATTATTTACTGCACAACATGATTTAACAGGAGGCGGAAAGAGCAAAATGATCTTGCAAGTCCCTGAATAGATATTCTATACAGTAAATATAGCTGTCATACTATTAATTTTCTATTCTATTATTCTATTCTACTATTCTATTATTCTATATATAAATCACAACGTAGAAGCACCAGCTGTGGGACGTCCCAGACTATGTATGTGCGATATAGGGTTTGTGGAAGCACCTATGGCTCCCTTCAGAGAGCTGGTCGATGCTATAGGTGAAGGGAACTGGAGGGTGGCGAGCTCAGGTGGGGACCTACGCATTGTGTACGCTATAGGGCTGCAGCAGAAAACAGGAGACCTGAGCTTGCAAGCGCCTCTCTGCGCCGTGTAGGTAAAAAGATCTTTACGGGTGATCACATCGCTCCTCCTTCAAAAAGATGCTGAGAAAGGCAACGGCCAATAATTTTCTAACCAAGAAGAGCTTCTCCCTGCGTACAGTAATGGAATATGAAGGATAATGGCTAAAAAAAAATGACAATAAAAAAAAAAATCTCAGCTACAAGTAATGATGACTTGGTCACGCGCAGGAAAAAAGCATCAGTTGGGTTTGTGGGTGCTTCAAAACCTGGATCTCACGAAACCGAAAGGACTCAACAACACCGAGAGAAGGAGAACAAGAACCGTGCAAGAAAAATATGTGCGGACACAAGCACAGCCTCGTAACGGAGAGAGACGTGAAGGGCGAAAAACTGCCAAGAGAAGGGAAAAGAAAATATAAGCCAAAATAAATGAAGTCGTTTCAGTCGGCTTTACGACCCTTTTTTGTTCCTCGTTAAGTTTTAGATGAAAAGCTGTTCTGAAAATGGCATGAAGTCCCTTTACGCAGAAAGACGACGATTGTCAGTAATGAACTGGGGAAGACTCAGGGGTTTTTGTCAATATTGCTGGTTTGAATTTGTGCTCGCTGTCCGGGTGATGTACAGAAATGTTTTCTCTTCCGACAGCTACTGAGGACGTTCGACAGCAACTACCCAGGTCAGATTTTTTCTCTATTACCCCAGCAACTGGTCCCCAAATTCTTCGAGGGCTGACCCTCGAGCTCCCTGGTCGTCTCCCGCCGATTTTCCAGTGAACCTTCAGAAAATAACCCGTTGGGATCCCAGCACGACCAGTCCGAGGCTGAAACAGCATCAGAAGAGGCGCAAGGATTCACAGCGTTCACCAGGAGTTGTGGGATGCTCACGCCAGCTGGCAGGCAGTAAATATGGTCAAAGCATCTTTTTTTTGGTGACACAAACTCGGTGACGCTCCTGCGGGTGACAGTTGCCTCAGCATTGCATAGCGTTTGGGTTAAAAGGATGAGAACGATATAAAATGGAGATGTTCAAAATTAAGAAGGGGATCTCAAAAGTGGATACGTGTCCGATGAGACGCTGCTGAGACCAAGTCCCGGCCAGGATGTTCTCGACCCTTTGAGGAACGATCCGACGGTGTCGGCACCGACATCGAGCCCGGCCAACGGCTGATACCCCCCAAAACGAGGCGGTGAAATCCTTGAGGTATAAACACAGGGATTTGAAGGCTATTTTATATTTTACCTCTAGTAGCAGTCACATCCATGTCCAGTTCGGGTGTGCGCAGTTACTGATGCGAAAAACTGGAGAGGGTTCATAGAAGAGCTGTAAAGAAGGACTAAGAGGTCGGAACAAATTCCTTATAGTGAGAGAATTCGATTATTACGGAGAATTTGAAAACAGGGGAGCCTTCAATACAACAAAGTTATGTAAAGAGGAGACGGTGCGGCAGAGCTCAGACCAGAAATGTTATCAGGAAGGTAACGAACTTGGCAGCTCGGTAGCGCACTCCTCCTCTGAAGTGCGAGCAGAGGCTTTTTTTTTTTACTCTGTATTAGATGTTTTCCTACGAGACAGACCGTAAATAAAGGAAGCGGCGGTTGAACTGCGTTTTTATATTACGCAGCAGAGAGGGTTGGATGAAGTGAGCAGAATGGTACTTTTTGATCCTGACAATTACTAAATTAGGAGCGAAGTTTTAAAAAAAGCCTACATCATTAACAAAGTCTTAAGATAGCAACAGACACAATCAGAGAACGGCATTTGACCAATTTATACCGTTAAATAGGGTTCAAAATGCCACAGTTCAACATTATGCAGAGCCTAAAGCATGCAGGTTAGTATTTCAGCCTGGAAAAAGGACAAGATGAGGTAAAGGAATCAGCCTGGCTGCAAAAAAAGGGTTTCTGGGATCCTGGCAGAGCAAGGGTCAGGTCTGCACAAAGTGAATCCATCTTCAGGGACCAGTGCTCCACCGCACTTGGGACGACGCATTCTTTCGAGGGACGGGAAGCTCGTCAAGCATCACTACCTATCCCCAATCATCGCAAAATTAATAAATGAGGTGTGAAAATTGTAACTTGAGCTTCTATGGAGGGCAGCAGTGGGTTGTGATGCTCCAAAGTGCTTTCGGACGCTCTTGCGCACCGGGATTCCCCCGTCGGGTCTGTAGCTGTCACGTTGCGAACGGTTCCTCGCGGGTCACCGATGCTTTTCTAACACAACACAGCTTTTCTAAGTCAGTGAGTCCACCCGGGAGGACGTGAAAAGTGGCTGTGAAACTCAAGAAGGTCTGATACAACAGAATTCGTGTGGCTTTAACAGCTGTACTTTACCCCTGAGGTAACACGAGGGGTATTTCATCATCTCAGCTCCCGACAGCAGG